GTTGAGTGTATGATACAAGTACCTGCTAGTCGCAATACCTATCAGATTACCAATATGTTCCTAAGGGAGTACCACTGTCCCATCCAGGGCGCGCCGTGGGATTTGCACAATGCATATTGCTTGTGATGGCATCTTTCTCAGACTGCTCTTAACAGTCGCACTATATGGTCAGGCTGCAGGAATGGCTTTAGTAACTGTTTGGAGTGAAACCTCGTGCCCGCAAGCAGGAATATCTGCAAGAACAAAAGGCGCACTCTAAAGGAAATGCCTGCATACACTCGAACACACACTGTGGGATCAGAACCATGGGAAGCGTTTGACAGAGTGTCCCCTCCTCGACAAGAAGCTCTCAACTGTTGTACTACACAGCTTGAGTGCAGGTGCTGCAGCTCCCAGATGACATTAGGGTTGGAAATGTGATGCTCAGGAATACAGCAATGCTCCTCAGGGCAGCATCTCTCCCAATCCACAAGATCACAAGATCAGAACTCAGCTGCCAGAAAACCTGCCTCAGCCTCTTGTTCAGGAAATAGTAGCTGCAAACATTGACAGCTTCTGTGACTCAACCTTTAAAGTAAGATCCCAGATAGCAGCCAAAGCTAATTTCCAGGGGAGAGGATAGGATTGTGCAAGTTGAATGGTCCTATAACAGTGCCTGATGATGTCCTCTGCTTCCAGAAAACCCACCTTAGCCTCTTGTTGAAGAAATAATAGCAGTTGGTAACCCAGCTGATACTTAAAACCAGGAAGGCAGAAGACTAGAAAAGGTTGTGTGGATACTAAATCCAGACTAGGAATTTACTCCACACATTCATCATTGTGGGATACTTGGCATCCCTAAGGCATGGATCCAGCAGATTAAATGTTGTTTCTAAAACTGTCATGACCTCCTCCACAATAGTAACACATTGAATGTTTTCAAATGTGTTATAATTGCATAGTTGGAACGTCTCATTTGAGTCCAAATCGCCTCATCAACCGTCGACTGTCAAGTTTGAATGAAGTGTGTTTTAAGATTGTTTAACAGGGCACTTAAGCTGGTTTTGGTTGTTTATTAAAGCTACGAGAGCTTGTTACACGTTGCAAACTGATCTTTTATCTTCCGGCTGAAACTACTGGGGTGGGGATCTGTAACACTCCTCAGTTTCTGGCTCTTGTTGGTCACAGTGGTTGCACCAGAGCACATGGGCTGGTGGTACCATGATCTGCTAGGAAGGGCAGAGTTGCCTTGGACATGCCCAAAATACTAATTCAGGGGGGCACTATGTCATCTTGAACCCTGGGACAGCATCTTGTGGTCTAGCAGCTGTGAAGTTTTGGGCCTCCCAGCTGGTGTGGTCTCTGAAAACTACAAAAGGACAAGACCCCCTGGAATTCAGGGACAAGACCGTGTTTGATGGCCATTTACATGCATTCCTGTTTCCTCGAGAGGATGCAGTGGGCTCTGTTTGACAATGGTGGAGGTGTCTCCAATTCAGGGGGTGTTCATGGCAGCATAGGAGAGGTGGTCTCAATGAGTTGTAGATTATGATAGCCCTTTCCTCTCCAAAGAGGGCATGGGATCCACCTGAAGACTGCAGAGCCAACGCCTATATATGAGAACCATCTCATGAACACAGTCACTCACTTCCTGAAACAGCAGACTGAACTTGCTTATAAAATGCTACACAAGCAGCTTCAAGCAAGGCACATGATTGTTCCTTTATTTAAGAAATGTCCAAAGGTAGTAATTTGTCCATGTATCTGTACTAGGTTTCAAGAACAGATCGACATGTGGATGCTCCACTTCTGATAGCTGTTTTATTAAAACTTTTTGAAGGAGATATGGGCTATGGCCTTAAATTAAAGTTGTACTTCCAGGCTGCAACCACTTTTTAATACACATTTGGAATTTAACTGCTCATGCTTACACATAAGCCTTAAAAATCGATGTTATCAGCACTGATATATGAGTATAGGCGCTGTGGTCTGTGCTCCATCTGTATGCGATTATCGTACTATTTTGATATTTTGTCTGACATATTGAAGTACTCTGAAGCATTAAAACTTTATCTCTACCACCACTTGCATTGAGAGTCTTCACAGGAAAAGTGGAGTTAGTTACCTTTAAGCAGTCTTCTTGCCATGTTTTGAAGAAGGATGTGAAGAGATCAGGATTCACTGCAGTTAAGATGGCAGCAGCATTCAAGCAATGTCCTGGTAAAAACAAACAATTTCTATTTTGAGTGGATGTGACAGACATACAGAATTCAACAGCAGAGTAGATTGTGAGGTCTCCTTGTAGCTCAGTTGGTAGAGCTGGTACCCTATATACCAAAGCTGCAGTAGCAATGGGATCTAGTCCAACCTGTAGCACTTTATTGCCTGTCACTCTCTATCATTCCCTGTCTTAACAAGTAAAGGCAATAACTGCTTCACTACAGTTTTGATGGCAGCAGCATTCAAGTAATGTCCTGGTGAAAACAAACAATTTCTATGTTAAGTGGACGTGACAGAGAATTCAACTACAGATTGTCCTCCTCAGGCAAAGGTAAAGTGGTGAACACAGACTTATATTCATAGTCAATGCGTAATGAATATAATCTTGATTTGATAATTATATTAAAAATATACTAGAACAGTTCCCAGTCTTAATTCTTAATTAAAACTTTCTCTCTACCACCAAGTGCATTGAGAGTCTTCACAAGAGAAGTGGAGTTAGTTACCTTTAAGTAGTTTTCTTTCCATGTTTTGAAGAAGGATGTGAGGAGCTCAGGATTCACTGCAGTCAAGATGGCAGCAGCATTCAAGCAATGTCCTGGTAAAAACAAACATTTTCTATTTTGAGTGGATGTGACATACAGAATTAAACTGCAGAGTAAATTGTGAAGCTTCCTGTGTAGCTCAATTGGTAGAGCTAGTACCCCATGTACCAAAGCTGCAGCAGCCATGGGTTCTAGTCCAACCTGTGGCAACCTGTCTGTCAATCTCTCATTCCCTGTCTTAAGTAAAGGCAACTACAATGATAAAAATATACCAGACCAATTCCCAGACTTAATCTGTGTTCACAGGATGTATATTATTGATTTGGCAAATATGCATGTTGATTGTAACCATTATGTCAAAAAAGGCTTTCAACATTACACAGTGTCCTTAGCCTTTCAGGTAATCTCAAACAATTCATTTCACTTCAGTCTTAAATGTTTAAGAACTACAAAGAATATAAGTAAATAGGATATTGTTGAGTGTATTAGAGTGATGAGTCAGAAAAGTTTGACCAGACACCAAAAAGATCAAAAGTTTAGATTACTTAAGTTGAAAATTATAAAAATATACATGTATCTATTTGTTTTATTGTTTGCTTAACAGTAATAAACTATAAATATATATGTAGAACTGGATTCACATTCCTTGTATGCGTACACATACCTGTCCAATAAAAATGATTCTGATATATTGAGTATATGAACACTGAAATTAGCCGACCCACCATGTCTCAGTGTTTTAATTGTTGAATCAGAATTTTGTTTATTGCCAAGTAGGTTTTTACGCCTACAAGGAATGTGATGTGTATACACATATACAAATACACAAATATACAATTATTCAAATCACATATAAGGATTCTCCCTAATTGGTGCCCACAAACACTGTCGATGTTAAAACAAAAAAAAAAAAAAAAAAAAAAAAAAAAGTGGTCTAGTAAGCCTAATATTGTTTCTGAAACACCTTCAAACATCTTTCAGCTTGTTTAGATGAGTTGTTTCCAATCTTCTGCAAACATTTATTGGGTAATTGTGGCAAACAGCATTAAACAAGTGTGAAATGGTTCTGCTACATTTAAATGTTGAGAACAACGTGTGGACAAGAAGAAACCATGTTGGACAGGGGCCCTGCACAGTGCGCCAGAGTAAAACACAACTTTTGAACAAACAAAAACAAACAAACAATTGATGCAGAAGCTCGGCGTCTACCTGCACCTCAAGCAAATCAACACACTGATGGCTCGTGGATGGAGCTGTTTTCTTTTAATATTGACACAAATAATTAAATACAGAACAGCAAACACGAGCGGAAAATACCTACCGAGACCACATAGTTTGTTCTGGCCTTCATCTCCACCAGCTCCCGGCCGAGCTCGTGTTCAGGCGTCTCTTTGGTTTTTAATTCTCACTCAGTTGCTGACAATTTAATTCAATCCACAATCCAGCAGTGGTTTTAGCAGTTCTGGGCCCAGAAACATAAAACTCTGCGGAGTCGTCAGATTTCAAACGCTGAGTGGACACATGGTTCTCTTTTATACATTTCAATCACGGTGGAACCGCGCGCAGGTGCGCGAGCCACGCCTCCACTCCCACAATTAGCCGTAAATGGCTGTAGAAACGCCCCCAAACATCCGTTTGCATATCTATACTTCCGCTCCACCAATCATTTCACGTGTCACGTTACATTGGGAATAAAACGGAAGCGCAATTTCACCGACTGTGTTTAATCCGCGAGGTTCTCCAACACAGCGGCTGTCATTACGCACGACCATTACGCACGGATGTGGCTGTTTGGCGTCCATATAATTAATTCATCAGGTGGACCTGGAAGCCATCTTTATTCCAAAGCGTCAGAGAGGTGATCAGAGATTAATCTAACGCAGGGGCAGCTCTAGAGAAATATTCACGGGGTGGCCCAAGGTGGCGTCCGACTTTAAGAGGTGGCAGGAATATAGCTGAAACCAACTTTACACAATGTTTCAGATTTCAGGATGAACTTAAAAGATTATTAACAGGGAAATTATGTCTCAGCAGTAAGTAAAAAGAATTCATCACTCGTAAATCATTACAATTATTTAGAAACAGAAAAAATACACATTTAGGACGTGCAGTTTCTAGTGAGTTTATTTTTGCAGCAAATGTCAACACACATAAATAAAAGCTTCAGTGAAGGTATAAGAAATATCTAAAAAGTATCAGTATCAGACATCACAAACTCAGAGTGCTGACGTGTGTGTGTCTGTCTGTCCTCCACAGCTACGCCTCATCCCGGTGGCTTCAAGTGCTTCACGTGTCAGGATGCTGCAGATAACTATGAGTGTAATCGCTGGGCGCCAGATGTTTACTGTCCAAAAGGTACATCAGCTTTTTCTCATTTGCTTCTATGTGTGCAGCTCGACTGACTCCCCAAAGACTGTGATCATTTGCACCCTCTGTTGCTGTTGTAGTTACATACACGCATTGTAAAACCAATTATCTGCATACACTGTAAAACCGGATGAGTTCATTAAAAATTGTTCCAACTGATTACATCAGGAATTTTAAGTAAAACAAACTTAATTTTGTAAGTTAAATAAACATTCTTGATTAAGTAGCTTTAGTAATTTTGACTTATTTTTTGTCATTTTTATTTGTACTGTGAAAACAAAATAGTAAAAAGTTTGAAGTTAAAAAAACAACAGATTACAGTTAATATTAATAAAGAAAATATAAAAGTAAGACTTTGGTATGTTGAATTTAATGAGCAAGCTTTTCCTTCACACATGATTATATTGTTAAAAGAGCTGCAAACGTGATATCGGGTGCTGTTTTAGCACTGATATGAATCTATTTGATTATCAGAAAGGAATTTTGGGGCATCAAACTCTAAAATCTTTCTAAAATATGAGGAAGAGTGTGTGGAAATAGTAAAATAATCCAGACATGAAGGTGTGTCGTGTCTTCCAGATGCCAGATACTGTTACACACTCCACATGATGGACAGCCATGGAGACAGTGTGTCTGTGACCAAGCGTTGTGTGACCCTGGACGACTGTCTGTTTACTGGCTGTGCTGATGTGTCTGGTAATGGCTATCAGGTACGTGGAGCCTCTGGATTAAACTGCACTAACATCTGCAACCTGATACTTGTATCATCTAAATCTGGTCCATCAGGTGTGCTCATCCTGCTGCGAGGGGAACATCTGTAACGTGTTGGTGCCGAGAAATGAGAGCAGCGCCATTTTCTCCTCGACTTCTCCTCTGGTCAGCTCGAGCAGAAGTCTTCTTCCTGTGACGCTGAGCTACGTCATCCTCATCATCATCATCATCATCTTCACAGCTGTACATGTTTGAGAGGGAATCTCTGCACAAGTGTCACATCATTTAAAAAACAGAAGAACTTTTTGGGTAACTGAAAAATGAGCTAACGGTGAAGAACAATGCTAAATGCATTTCCTAATGTCATTGTGTTAGCCGGTACATGCAGCATCAGACCTGAGACTGTTTATTGTGTGCTGCGCAGATTGATTAGATCAGCTTTATAATGATATTTCACTAAATGTCTAGAGAGTTTAGTCACAGAGGAATGTTAACTTGAAGTTTGAACAAAAACAAAAAGTGAAAACCTGTGTCCAAACCTGTCACTGCGGTACCATATTCCATTTACTTCTTCCTGTCAGACAATATTTACATTTTGTTAAAGATTTTCTGCTAATTTATTTATAAGTGTCAGTATTAATGTGAGGCTGTTGTTCTTTAACACTGTCAGTGTGTGTTTTTGGAGGTTTCGTAAATATTATATTGCTTGTGAAATCAGTTATCACTGTTTGTTGTTTTTAATAAAGGTATGAACAAAATATGATTTTTTTCTGTGGTGACTGATGACTTTTTGGGAGAGGCGGTGTCAGAGGGGTGTAATAATTTGCTTTCAATTACCAGTTTAAAGGTTCCATATGTAAGATTCTGAAACATGTATTATTTTAATTTATTCATCAATTTCTATTGCCAGTGTGTGAACGGGTTGTTTACACAGTTCAGATTTGGGCCCCTGTTGTCTGCAGTGTGAATGTAGGCATGGTCGGACACACAACAATAATTTGTGTCTGATGTTTTTTTTCCCCTCAAAATAAGTAACATTTCCACAGTAAAATCCATAAAAAGGCATCTTCAAGAATCTATTACTATACAAATTTTGTTCATTTCTTATGTTTTCCTGCCATTCTCAGTGTGTGTGCAATGGTGGCTTCAAGTTTCTGCGTCACACTTGTATAAGTATTCTGTACAGAGAAGCTCAAACATCCAACTGGAGGAAAAAACATATACATTTTTTTTTAATGTAAATTATTGTTTTTTTTAAACGACTGTGTATATATTTAAAATTTATAACTTTTGAGAATGTGTGCTTTCAGTGTTTTTTTTTTTTAGAACATAGAATGAACAAAGAATGTTCTGGAGTTCCATACCTTTGGGATTACATTCCATACCTTTGAATGAGTCTGTTCCCTTGATGTGACATTCTAGATCATGTAGGATAATTCTGTTGTACAGTCCAGTTCACTGAAGCTTCAGAGATCACAGTGGAACAGGATCTACACAGACCTCACCACGAGGAACAACTGACAAGTTACATCCATGGAGAAAGTACAGGATCTCAACATGGATTACAAAGTAAGAAAATCTAGCCTTGAATCACACAGTTACATACACACACACACACACACACACACAGAAGTTGAACTTGACGGCTACAGGGAGAAAGTTTTCACCTCCTGTCGGTTAAACTTTGGGTGAAACACATTAGATTTATGAAAGAGATGTCTTCCAGTTATGTAGGATCAGCTGTTGGAGAGATAATAAAAGTAAAAGTAGTTAGTGTATGAGAAATTGTTTGGTTGCTGTACGTTAAAATCAGACTGTTTGCCTTTCAATGGCAACATTTGACAACACTTTCATTTTGACCATAAGCTCTTAAAATGCATACTGCACAGCACCAAGTATCATAAC